TTTTGTTTTTGTAAAATTTTTTTGAGGCTTTTATGAGCCCTCTCAATGATTTCTTGACCTTGGGGATTGTATGGGATACCATGTTTTAATTGAACCTCCATCATTTTGCAGAACTCATTGAAGGCTTTGCCTATATAGGCTGGTCCATTATCAGTTTTTAATATTTTTGGTTTGCCCCATGCGGCCCAAGCCGCCAGGCAATGATTGATCACATTAGACACTTTTTTACCTGTTTCTGCTGTTGCGAATATGACGTGAGAACAGGTGTCTGTGGAAACATGAACATATTTAAGAGTCTCAAACTCCTGTATATGTGTGATGTCCATCTGCCAAACATCACCAGGGATCAAACCTCGAGGGTTTACTCCCATCGGTATGGCAGGTTTGTATGTGGCACAGGAGTCACATAGTCGCACGATATCTCGTGCATCTGCTCTGGAAACATGGAAATGGTTTGCTAGTGTCCTGGCATTGACATGAAACTTATCATGGAAGGCACGGGCTCGCTCGATTGGTGTTAGTAAGGTAAAAATCCATAACGGGCGAGTGGCAGTATCAGCAGCCGCATTCCCCTGTGCCATGGACCCCGGCAGGGATGTATGTGCTCTTATGTGGGTGGTGAAGACCTTATGGTGTCTGTTCTGAAGCAATGTCTGGATAGACAGGAACAGCCCAGCCACTGTGGAAGTGGATCTAATTAAACCGGCAGTCTCAAGCACTTGCATAGCATTGACCACATACCTAGAATCGGAGACAATGTTAATGGCTCCTGAGAACCGTTTAAGAATCATTTTAACGATCTGTAGTTCCACCACCTGAGGCTGATCAGGTTCAAATTGTATGGTAACCGGGGGCTTGCCTAGGATCACATAGGCGCCTATCCCCGTCTTGGAGCCATCTGTGTATATTGTAGTTGCTGGGACTAATGGCTCAGAGGCAGTAACCTTTGGAAAAATTATAGGGTGCTGAGTGACAAATGACAAGATAGGGTCTTTAGGGTATTGATTGTTTATATCCCCATGGAAAACACATCTCAGAATGGCCCATGTATCTATGCAGGCAGCCAGGGTCTTGATCTGGCTGGCGGTATAGGGTACTCGGATGGCTTGTGGTCCTGAGCCAAAATGTTGGACAGCTCTATCATGCGCCTCAAGGGCCAATGAAGCGACTGCCTCCGGGTAATGCTCTATGACTTTTGCAGGTGAGACCTTAGGGTGTATCCACAGTAATGGTCCTTTTTGCCAAATCACCGCTGTGGGCTGTAGACTAGTCTGTAGCAAACAGACATCAAAGGGTCGCCCTGGTTCAATTCTGTGTGAGGTAGCCCCACCTAAGGCTTTTTTTACTCTCTGTAAGGCAGCTCTTGCCTCAGGAGTGAGCCTCCTGTGGGAGGCTATATCTGGGTCTCCCTTTAGAAGGTCGAACAGGGGTTTGAGATCTGAATTTGGTATATGTAAATACGGCCTAATCCAATTAATGTCTCCCAATAGCTTTTGCATGTCATTTAGGGTCCTAACGCCATCTGTCCTAATGGTGACCTTCTGTGGAGAGACTAGCATAGGGGAGATTTTTGCGCCTAAGTAGGTCACCATTTTTCCTCCCTGAATCTTGTCGGGGGCAACATGTAGATTAGCTTGTCTCAGGGCCTCGACCAACTGGCCGAGCATATTATTTAGCATGTCTGGGTCCCTGCCACTGAGCAAAAGGTCATCCATGTAATGCACACATCTTATCTTGGGAAAGGATTTCCGTAGGGGGGCCAGTAGGGAATCAAGGTAAATCTGACACATAGTGGGACTGTTGGCCATACCTTGGGGCAGCGTTATCCACTCGTATCTGAGATCAGGGCTTTCTTGGTTAATGGTGGGTAAAGTAAAGGCGAACCTATGAGTGTCCTCTGGATGCAGGGGGATTGAGAAGAAACAGTCTCTAAGATCTATAACATAAACTGGCCAGGACTGAGGGATGGCTGAGAGAGCTGGCAGCCCCCTCTGGACCGCCCCCAGGGACTGCATCTGCGCGTTGACCGCCCTTAGATCATGGAGCAGCCTCCATTTGCCAGACTTTTTCTTAATTATAAAAATGGGGGTGTTCCATGGGGAGGTTGACGGCTTAATGTGTCCTAATCTAAGTTGTGTACTGACTATTTTTGACAAGGCTAATAGCTTCTCCTTAGGCAGGGGCCACTGAGGTACCCAAACCGGATCATTTGACCTCCAGGTGATTTTGATCGAAGTGGGTAGGAGAGCTTCTTCAGCGGCCCCTAAGAAAAACCCAGCCCTTGCCTACCTTTTTTGTTCTCTACTGGTATTGGGGATGTCCGACCCTGTAGGGCATTGCCCAAGCCTTTGCCGGGGGTATATCCCTGGTTCCTGAGTATATCCTTAGCCTGGGGGGAGCAGTTTGATGTAAGCGTGACATCCATCTGAGTGAGGATGTCCCTTCCCCATAGAGACACTGGCAACTGCAACACAAATGGTTGGAAATGGCCCTGATGACCCTCCTCATCACACCAGAACAGGGTTGAAGCACTAACCTGAGGAGCTGACACCATCCCCAGGCCCTGCAGCGTGTTATCTGCAGTGTTGGTGGGCCAGTTGGAGGGCCAATCCTTTCTAGAGATAATGGAACGGTCAGCTCTTGTGTCTAGGAGCCCTGTTATATTCTTGCCATTGACCTTAAGTGAGAGCATGGGCCTTTTATCAAGTATTATATGGAGTCCCTCGAAGACTTCCCCTGAGGATCCGAAACCTTGACTTTCTCTAATTTTCTGCTTTGAGGGGAATCTCTTGTGGAGACTGGGGAGCAGCAAGAGCTGCGCTATCTTGTCTCCTTTATTGATTACCATAGTACCCACAAGAGATTGAACCATAATTTTAATGTGTCCTGTGTAGTCTGAGTCTATGACCCCCGGGACTACTATGAGACCCCGAAGGGCCGTGGAGGATCTCCCGATCACCAGACCCACGGAATTTTCGGGTAACGGTCCCTTAAAGGTGGTTTCAACCACTCGAACACCCATATCAGGCACTAATATAAGTCTGGAGGCGACACTGAGGTCCACACCTGCTGACCCAGGGGTGGCCCTTGTTGAAGGCTGCCATCCTGAGCTGTCCTGTCTCTGGGGCGGGGGCCCGCCTGTGAAGGGGGCCCCCTCTGGCCGTTTTTTGGCCCTCTAGCATCTCGTCCACAAATACGGTTGCCCTGAGCATCAAAGACCGACCTACACTCCTCAGCTTTGTGTGATCCCCTCTTGCATCGCCCACAAACATATGGTTCTTCATTCCTAGGGCGAGGCCTAGCATCTGTATTGTTTGGGCAATGACGTTTAATGTGTCCTAGCTCCCTGCAGGCAAAACACCCTTTAGCCTTACATTCCCCTTCTAACCCGCGAGGTCCCCTCTGCTGTACAGCCGCGACCAGGAGAGCAGCCACTCCCGAGTTGGAGAGCGGCCCCCCTATCTCTCTACATATCCTAATCCAGGCGTTGAGGTCCTTGTTCTTATGAGGAGCTATCGCTGCCTTGCACTCCTTTGTACATTGCTCAAAAATCAGCTGCCTTACCAGCGGTCGAGCCACTCCCGGATCAGAAAATATCTTATCGGCAGCATCTTGCATTCGGGCCACAAAGTCAACAAATGGCTCTGTGGTACCCTGAATTATTTTTGAAAGACACAAGGAGGCTGTTCCGGCACCACTTACCTGCTTCCAGGCGCGGAGCCCTATGGCGTTGATTTGTTCATAGACAGCGCCGGGGAACTGAGTCTGATCATCAGCGTGCCGACCTTCTCCCATAAGCATTTCCTTGTTCCACCCCCGGTTTCCCCGACTGGCGTTTCTCTCAGCCTGCTCCGCAGAGAACTCTGCGTACCAGGCTCGCCAATCCAGGTAACTACCCGAGGGCAGACACGCCTTTGCCAGCTGAATCCAGTCCGCGGGGGTGAGGGGCCCAGAAGACAGGTTCTCCAGCATGGCAATGGTGTAAGGCGCAGTCGGCCCAAAGGTTGTAACTGCATTTTTAAGTTCTCTAATCTGCTTTATCTCAAAAGGCTCCCATGCATTACGTCCCTGGCCCATAGCTACTTGTACAGGAAATATCCCGTAGGGGCCACTATCTATCCCAGGTGGTGGATGTACCTCATGAGACAAACGTCCCCCCTGCCAAAGCCGCCTGTAAAAATACCGACCCGCCGGCGGCGGAGCATAAGACGGCGGCCGTGATTGGGCGGAAAATGGGGGCCCGTGCATCACTTCCTGTTCTGGCGAAAGGGAAGGGAGCTCCCGGGCGGCCGCCTCGCGGCGAGGGATCGCCTCCGGGAACAGCCCCCAAGGTGGGGCGGAAGGCTTCGCCTCCCTCTCGCGCCGGGGAGCGCTCAGGAGCTCTCTACTCCTCCGCAGACCAAGTTGAGCGGAGCGCAATTCACGGCGCAACGCTGGGAAAGAACCCTGCGACTCCTTATCGAGCGACTTAGGCTCCTGACAGCTGGTCTCTTTGGCCTCCTTGCCATTCAACTTTCCCTCGTCCTCGGAGTCAGACGACTCCGAGGCTAGAGCCCCGTCCTTCTCCTTAGCATCTTTGTTCCCCTTGACGGGCCCCTCTCGGGAGCTCCCCGACTGGGCCTGCTCAAATACCCTGCGTACTTTTGTAAGCTCTTGAGAGCTTTCTCCACAACCACCCTCGCTCTTAGTGTTGCTACCTAGCATGTTTCCCATCTTTTAATATGTTACTCACCGCGTGAGGCCCAAGGAATCCGCCACTTACGCGTGAGCCTGAGGGGAGTCTAAAAGCCCTGTAGGTGCGCGCCACCCAGAGCCCAGGCTTATCCCCAACTCACCTGTCTCGCAGCTCTGTACTGGAGCGCTGTCCGCTGTCACGTCTCGGGGGTGATCAGTCCCCGTGCGGGCCACCAAATGTCGATGTCGCTCCTGGCCGGCAGGAAGGACACACGACAAAGTCTGGCAGTAGACAACCTTTTCTTTTATTTTCCTTCTCCGTACAGCCTGCCCTGGGATCGCTCCCAGCCGAAGCCTCCTTTGGTCCGCTCCTTTGGTCAGCCTCTGTGGTGTGTATAGGAGACTCCGATTGTCTCTCCAGCCATGGTGAGTGTGGGGGATGGGGGGAGATTGTCCTTATGCACCTTTATGGCTCTTTGTTTTCCTTCTCCCTCTGGGGAAGGATCGAATCCTAGCCTTCTCCTTCCTTACAGTGTCCAGAGTAGACTAAGAAAGGGCAAGCCAGAAGACCAGTTCTCTGTTGGTGAAGAATAATGTTCATGTAATCCTTGTGTCCACTTGGCCTCAGTGGAAAGTTGGGCAACTCCTTCTACCACGTGCCAATGTGTTCTTACGTAACTGGTTTTGAACTCTCTGACCAGGCTCCCCGTGCTGCCCAGGGGCCTCTGCAGGCCTCTTGCCCAGGAGGACCAAGGCTGTGAACCCCAGGATGTGCTTTCGGGCCTCAGCACAGAGCACGTAGGACAGCGGGTGTTTGTCTGATTAGGCCTCCATACGATTCTCAAGCCAAATTTAAATAACTTTGAGGGGGAGAAAAAAACTTTTTCACTTTCCAAATGCTTCATTTTCAGTCCTTTAAATTGCGGAGGGAGCATGCAATAGAAAACAAAATCAAAAATATAATCCTACTTTTGAAAAAATTAACATATTTAATTCAAACGTCAACTAGGATCTCCCTGTGATTTGAGAAAATACTTAAGGATTTGAACTTATTTCAGACTGAGTAAAACAACCCTTACTTTCTGAAAGTTAACACAAGCTTACAACACTATTGCATGGCTTAAGATCAATTCTATCTGGGGAATTGTTTAGTTTAGAACTACTTTTTGTTTATTTATGGCAGAATTGGGGTTTGAATGTAGGCTTTTTTGAGTTATATCCCCAGGCTTTTATTTTTTATTTTGGGACAGGGTCTGGCTAAGTCACCAGGTTTTCCAGGCTGTGATCAGCCTCCCATGGAGCTGGGATTATGGCATGTAACCCACACCTGACTAGAGCTCCATATTTCACAAACAACTTGGAAAATTTGACATGGATTCAGAAAAGAATGATTAAGAGAGTAGGGAACCAAGTAATATGGAGGAAGTTCAGCTGTTAATGATCTTTTATGTGGAAAAAAATACTTGAGAACACCTAGTATATTAGCCATTTTGAAATATTTGGAAGATGCTAGATTTATTTTGTCACTATCAGGAAAGCGTACATATCTAATAATCAGGAAGTTATGGAAAAATGACTTCAACTAATTTTAGTAAAGACCATTCTAGAAACTGTTATCTTTTAGAAATGAAATGCAGCATCTAATGAAGGAAGGTTTCTTTTCCCTAAATGTTTTTTGAGTGACTAAATTCTAAGCAGTATTTCAAGCACTGAGATTTAGCGATGAATAAACTCAAGAAAAGGACTGGTAATCAAAATACTTGGGATCCTCTTATTTGAGCATTCTATATTCATGGATTCAATCCATTATAGATCAAAAACATCTTTTAAAAGTTGTTTTTGTGCTCAACATGTACAAACTTTTCTCTCTTTAGTATTGCCAATTGTTTACGAAGCATTTACTTTGTATTAGGTATTATGAGAAATCTAGAGATGATTGAAAGTATTCAGGAGGATAGATACAGGATATATGAAATTACAACTACCACATACTTCATTTTTATACAGGGTACATGAGAATCTGATGGTTTGAGTATCTGTGAGGAGTCCTGAATTATATCTTCTGTAGACACTAAGACACACATGTGTATCTAATAAATTCATTCAATAAATATTGATTGGTCTTCTTCTATGTGCCAGGCACTATTTAAAGCATTTGGAATAAATCTGTAAACAAAATGCATGAAAAATTCCACTGTCCCTTGTGGGATTTAAACAAAGCAAATGCTTTAATTTCTCACAAATCTACTAAGCTTTGCTTATCTCACTGTCATTAACCTACTTCCAAGGATTAACACTATTAACTGCTCCAGAAAGCTAATGAGTATCTTTCCATCCTCCAGCTCACTCTGTACAGTAGTCTGACTGAAGATTTAAGTCCAGATCTGATTCAATCACTCCCCAGATTAAATCCCTGCTTCAGTTTCTCATGCTCCTGCACAGCATCTGCTCTCTTCTCCACCAGATCTGTGAATTTACCCTCTTCAGCACTGGGTCTCCTGAGTGTGGGTCTGCATACCTGAATGCTACCTGTTCCTGTTACACTGAATTCCCAACTGCCCTGGAGGACCTGCTCTCCTTCTCACGTCCGGAGCAGAGCTGTAATTACTGTCCTCAGCCTGGAATAAGCTTACCCGCGCTCCTTTTTCTTGCCATGCTAATCCATTCTCCACCTGATTACTGATTACACCGCATTCTCCCAGGGATCCCTTTGCTGAATCCCACAGATGAGCTAAATGCATTGCATTGAGATTTCCTGGCTCCCCGCAGCAAATGTGTCCCTGACTTAATCACAGATTACTGCTATTGCATGTTTGCTTGTCTGTACCCAAACTGCATTGCAAAAGTTGTGTCACAGTGTACTTTTTGCCTTATTCTCTGCTCTATCTTGAGAAATAGTATGGTACAGGGCCCAGAGTGCTACATGAAAGAATATATGTATTAAGTTGATATTTTGAGGCACAGCTACTCAGACACTACAGTGACAAATAGGAAACATTATGGACAAAGAAACGATTTGTTAAAGTGAGAATGATTTTTTTCCCCTCCTTCATTCAAAATCATTGGAATAATTATAGGAATGAAAAGATAATTTGGCTAGACAATGTATTTTTATCTCATGCAATTACTAGGATTTAAATGATAGATTCATTTCTCCTGCTTTTTGGAAGAAGTGAATTTTCTTTGAACCTGTATCTCAGAAATATATTAACTTTGATTCTCAAATATTGAGTATTTTGGGGGGGGCACCAAGGTATTGAACTCACTGTCTCATGCTTGCCAAGCAGGCACTTATGCCACTCAGCTAAACTCTCAGCCTTGAGTACTTTTAAAAGAATGATAGAGAACTCAGGGACTATAAGGAAGTGAATCACATCTCCCAAACCCCGCAGGTATGTTCTGTACCTTGGAATGTGACTGTACTTGGAGATGGGCCTCGATAGAGGTAATTAAACTTCAATGACATCATAGGGCTAGGTCCTAATTTGCTGCCACAGGTGTCCTTACAAAGGGATGGAGAGACACCAGGGATGTGCAAATCTAGGTGAAAGACAATAAAGGAACCAGATGGAAGCTGCCACCAGCAAACTAAGGAGAGAGGTCGTTGAAAAGCAAACTTTCGTCTTGGACTTCCATCCTACAGAACTGTGAGAAAACACACTTCTGTTACTCACTGGTGCAATTTTGTTATGACACCTTAGCAAGATAATGCAATAACTTGCAGGTTTCTGCAGAGGAATTCTCCATAATCTGTAGCTGTTCAAACTCAGTATGGTATAAAAGAATTACTGCATTCTTGTCATGAGCTGTTCCCTGATTTAAAAAAATATCCGTAGGGTTAGTTTCAAGGAAGTGTAGAAAAGCACACTCTGAGACAGATAAAATACATAGATAAGTGTGTAGAGGGCTTTGCCTGTCAGAATTCATTATTTATTATGCTCATGTTATAACATGGGTCCCAGAGCCTAGTATCTTCGCAAAGTTTCTCAGGCTTCAAATTCCCTAAATCCCTCAGGTTTAAACCTGGCAATGATTTTTGATTCATCTTTTTTGTCTTAACCACCTACATAGCCAGCCAACAATAAATTCTTATTGATTCTTATTTCAAAATGCCTGTCTCATACGCACATTCTATTGCTTTCCTCTGCACAGTCTACAGAAAGCCCAAAGTTCTCATAAATTTACTGATAAGTTATTGCCAGATAATCCCACCAAGTTCTTCCTCCTCCTGTCTTTCTCTCCCATTCTGTTGCAGTCATCCAGCTAGCATTCACAAATGTCACGTTTTTGAAGCTCTGCTAAGGAGCTTTGGGGTGTCCTCACTGTCTAGAAGTTAAAACTATAGACTCCTTAACCTGGAATCAAAACACTTTCTAATTTAAGGACAATAATCTAATTTTATCTTTTGAGTGGATGCGTAGTGTCTGGAAAGAAAATGGGTCTCTCCTTGGCAATGTATTAACCCAGCTTTCTGTCCCAGGACTCCACACTATCGTATGTAGATGTTGCTGACCGGTTTCCTCACTTCATGGTGTTCCCTCCTAACTCTGTTCCTTTTCTTCATGCTCTTTCTCTTTTTGTAATACTGTCTTTCTTTCTTGCCGCTTATGTTTATTACACTAAATTCTGTGACCTTGATAAAGCCCAATCGACCTCCACCACCCCAGGCAGTTTTTCTGAACAAAGCAATCCTACCTCTCTCAGATCAACTCCCATGGATAATATAATTTGAACTGCTCAATTTTGTGTCTTCCCAGTAAAATGTGCTATTATGTGTATGTGTGCCATTAGAAGATAGAAGCACCTCTGTTTTTATTTATGCAAGCCATAATGATTTTTGAGAACTCTTTTGAGTTTTAGGATCATAACTATAGTTAAAATAGTTGCATTTGGAGAGAAACGTAAGTTCTCAACATTCTAGTGCAAAATTTAGAGACATTTTGTACTACAAATTTTTGCTTTGTTGTATTTGTTGAGGTAAATATTGAAAGGATTTTGCTCTGGACACTGTAGCGGTGGGAGACTGGAAGGCGGAACCAAGGGACTTTATCTTGAGGTCATTTTCCCTGCCCCTAGGCAATCTACCTGTGGTGGGAAATGAATGGGGAATGGGCTACTTGTGCATCAGTAATGCCCCTTAGGTACCACCCCAGACCAAAGCTATATGTACGCCCCCTATACCACATGTCAGGCAGAGAGAAAAGCCAGACCTCAGTGGTCGTGGAGTTCTCTCTTTGTGTTCTTAGAATAAAGGTCACTTTTATTTCATATTTCTATCTTTATAGCCGTGCCAAAAATTCTATCAAATATACTTTACTTAAATCTCCCCTACACTGTGTCAGAAGGTACAGGCTTTAAATACATTTCAAATCCAAGCACAATGTTTCATAGTGAACCTTAAATTCTCCCTTTTAAGACTTCTCATG